AATTAATTTATTCATCTAAGATACTTGGTTTGCATCACATATAGAATAAAATATTTAATTTATCTTCGCATAAAAATAAAAAAACCTATTGCGAAAAAAGATCTTCGTCAGAAGTCAAACCAGTTTCTTTTGTATTCCGTGCATATTATGAAATATATTATTATTAACATTAAGTCGTACATTAAATATGTGATAGGCAATGTTAACTTAATTTACATGCAATCTAAAACATTTCTTTTTTATATTCATCGCTAAAGAAAGCTACTAATCTTATAGTAGACAATTCAAAGAAATGTATATGTCATACTTGAAAACTTTCTTGATTTAAGTGTCTAAGGTTCTTGGTTACATTTAGATATGGTTAACTATAAACGATGCAAGCACACCAAGAGAAAGAGCAACGTTGAATGCAACCATACATGGTGCAAAGTAAAAGTTGCTCATACGCAATGGTACAATATCGCTAATGTATATCAGAGTTTCTATTTGTTCTCAAGTATGTCATTAAGAATCATCAGTAAACTTAAATGTTGATACACACCTAAAAATAGAAAACTAATACGAAATAAGTTTTTTAACAAGAAATAGAATAGGTAATTAGTCAATTTATAAAAAAAGACAATAGTTACAGATAAAAAAAATAGAATATGATGTATATCTAATCTGAACTGTATAATCCATGAAATTCTGTTGATAATTGTTAAAGAAAAAATGAAATCATGATATCACTATAAAAATGTTATCAAATTAAAAATTAATTATTCTAGCTGAAACAGATAAATGCTCTTATATCAATTGACAAACTTATGTAACTGTAAAAGATGTTATGTTAAATAACTTAAACCACAAAACATTTCTGAGTTGCTTTTCAGATCTGATACATTTACGATAACCATATTTTCACCTAACATGTACGTACGGCAACACAATGATTCGTTATCTAGATAGTGAAAGAACCATACACATATAATAACTTTATTAAATATTCTTATTGCCGAACTTTTTCATATATCCTACATATTGTACACTCATATAAATTTTAGCTAGATTTGCAACTGTTCTTTTGAATTAAATACTTGTTAAATCTGCTTAAAAAATACAAGACACGAATTTTACGAAAGCAATCGACAAGAGACCAACGACCACGCAATACCACCGTCAGAAGCGGATGGTTTGAATAATCAAGGTCAGTACGCATTCTCCGACAACTTTCCACGGACGTTTTGCGAACAACCGTTATTCACTTTTCCTTCTTGCAATAAAGTTACTACCAAGTAGCAAGTAATTGCCTAATAAATGAACATAAATATTCTATACTCAAAATATATCTGCTTATTAACTTATAAATTGTTAACAAACATCCGTGAAATTGTCGTGAGGAAAAATTTGAAAGCGGAAATTACGTCATTGTTCCCGGACTATTTTCTCGCCTTGTGATAAGACTAATAATTACCACACGTATATGAAAGATTGCGTACTTCATTACGATAGAGACAGTTAAAATTAGACAAGATTATCAACAGTTAAACATTTAGGTTTAAACATAAATATTTTAAAATATTAATAGCAATAATCTCCAACAACATAACGTTTCCCAACAGCCAAGTTTTACAGATTATGAAGACCGTTATATTTTTAAACCAAGTCCTCTTTATATATCTTAATAAAATTTTGAGCCACGACTAAAACCTAGATTTCTTTTTCATATTAATCTTAATCGCACAATATATAATAGTGGAAATGCATAATTCAGAAGGAAGTCACCAAATAGGCCTGAAGAAATTCATCTTGTATATATCTAAGAGGAGAGTGAAATAAAAATAGCGAGTATTTAAAAGGAATCCAATGAGAATTTCTTTTTCTTTCTTAGTGTCTTCTCACATAAAGTTGACCAAGCACGTTTGAGAAATTTTTTTCTCTAAACTGTGTTATCATAAGTTCCTATGGAAGCGTAGTCTCTACAATCTTGAAGCGTATGCCACAAGTCGCACGCGCGTGTGTGTATTTTATGCAATAAATATGCAACCAAAACCGAATGGACACTCATGCATGCAAAATGTTCACAAGTATACGTATCTACGTATGCTACATGCAAGATTTATATAAATATTCTATTTTGTAACAATTAAGAGCTTTAGTAGCTTAATGCAAATAAATAGCACATTAAGCTACTAAAGCTCTTAATTGTTACAAAATAGAATATTTTCAAGTATCTATGAATAATATATGAGTTATAGATTTATAATAAATTAAAAATAATTTGAGTGATCAACTTTGAAAGTTTTTATAATAAAAAACGAAAAGTTTTGTAAAGTATTAAATGAGAGAAGAGTAATAAATCATCGTATATATTATTATAATAGATCATATGTTAATAATTTCAAAACAAGACGTTGACATTTGACAACATTGTATTGGCTGTAATCTTCTCTGTAACTGCGTCCTCATCCATTAAATTGTTTATCGGCATTCCGTAAGAAGAGGCGCGATTTCTTTATGCTAATTCGTTAAATGTGCTTTGCAATAATTTGTTGCGTTAACGACAATGATTACTTTGTGAATGTATTTATTCATACATTCCTGCACGAGCAAATCTGTACACTCACCGCATTTTTTACGAGAGCGGAATGACGAAGTATCCCATATATTTTAATGATTTTTTTAGGAATCTTTACAATGTTTGTTAGACTTTTGCCGTCTGAAATAACATATATAATGTGTTCGTCGAACTTGTGTCAATCAATCAAACTATATAATTTCATATAAAATAATATTTATGAGTTTATTATACGAAAATTACAATCCACATTTTACATTCAATTGACGAGAAATTTTGATTCTACGATTGTCATTCTCGATCGCAAAGCGTAGCTTCTACGAGAACAGTAAAAGTTTCTCAGAATTCTGTGGTAAAAACAGGTGTGGAAACGTGTACTATAGCGTTGGTCGAATCGAGAAAGTCAAGAGCGAATGCCGCGGTGTAGTCCAAGTATCTCTCGTAAAGGCTGCTAGCCTAGTTAGATTGGAAATTTGTTGTATCGCAACAGATTGTTCATCAACTCGATATTAATATTATTAATGTTATCATCTGACATTATATATAAGACTTTTGCGAAAAAAATAAATCAACAATTGTATACTATTCATATAAGAGCGATTTAATTTGCCTAAATCTTGCGTACATGATTTGCCGCTTCTAAATTTATAATTCATCGACGCAAACATTTCTAAACTATGTTTCAAAACCATGTTTCACAACTATGTTTCTTCTACGTTTTCAACCTGAGAAAGTTGTGATTTTAATACATGGTATAGCTCGAAAACTGCACTACAGCTTTTTATAACGAGTGTACCACTAGTACTTCTACGCATATTATTAAAAATCTATTTTCTTATTTACCTTTCTAACAATATTATCAAGTAAGTTTAATATATCATAAAAAAACTGAATAAACTTGTTCGATTATTTAATATTAATATATATATATATATATAAAATGCCATTGAAAAAAAATATCTGATATAAACTCTTTCAATTTGAGAAGAATTGAATAAAAGTTAAAACGGTCTTTGAATGTTGTGTTTCAAAAGACATTGAAATAAAAGTAAACGTAACCTCTTAGTATTTTCTCTTTTGTATCAATATTTGTACTTGTACAGTTTACATACGGTTATCTACATAAGGTTATCGGAATTGATTCTACTTAAAATCATTCCAAATATTTACTGTATGTATAATCGGTGCATAATTATTTGTAAAGATATGTAAGCTTTTGTTTAAATTTACTTTTTGCTTAATGAACTATAATGTTTCGAAAAGAAAACAAAAGTAATTGTTTATTCATGTGTGTGTATATATTTACATATATAAACACGCATGAAATAAAGTTCAATAAATTCTCATTGTATACACATAAAATTATATAAATAATACAATTGTGCAAAATAATGTAGTTAAATTATACTATGCCCATATATGCAATAAACAATGTGCGTTACTCGATAGTCAATGCAGTTTCTCTAAATAAGTTTCAAAAATCTTACTTAATTTTTGAAATAAATATTATAAAAACATTACAACAAATATGTAGTATTACATTTTACTTATTCAAAATTTTATTTTATTTTATATCGTTGTTAAAAATATCGTTATATTTTTTATTAGTAGTATACGATCTGACGTCTGCTAGATAAAAATTTCGATTGAGACTGAAAAATAAACTGTAGTGTAATTATTTCTAATAATTTCTTGATTGTTACGTTATTCTATTCAATTCGATTATATACATTACATTATATACACAAAATTATACAAGAAAGATACAAGATACAAAGAAATACATACAAGGAAAGTTGGTGCTTTAGTTCACAGTAATAATAACATAAAAATATCGAGAATCTTACGTTCGTAACTAACACTTGACTTTTATACATGTTATGTGCAATTGTTGCAAAATTATTTATAAAAACATGTTTTTGTTTATTTTGTTTAATAAATTAATGTTTTACGAAGAAAGAAAACGAGATGTTTATGTGTGTGTGTGTGTGTATGTGTGTGTGCGTGTGCGCGCGCGCATGTAACTTTTTATCTGAATACACAATATATATATATATATAAATTTTATACATAAAAATTTAGACAAGTCTTTGAAAAGAGAAGTAATTACTTAAGATGACAGTATTCCAAAACATTTGAAGAAATAATAAATTTTGTGTTGCCATCAAATCTTACAAGAGAAATAGTTGCATAAAAAAATGTCACGAGAATTTGGTATTCCTGAATATAGGTTATGTCGGAAAGCTTTGAATACAAAACTTGCGAAAATTGAATTAAATAGTTCGTCTTCTCAAGCGTATCATATTTTACGAACTATCAACCACTAGGATAATGTGCGTTCCAAGTGAGCGGAAGCGCGGTACAATTCAAATATTTATCTGAAACGGGTACAATTCAAACATTTAAGTCGACAACACACGGAGAATTTAGCATGAAAACATACTTGGAAGATACATGAATGTTGAAAGAACACGCCGTTCATTTGAGAAGCCACCAAACGCGATTTCACACACGTTGTCGTCGAAACTTTCTTTCGTAATTGAGTGAAATGTCCAAACCGACACAGTTTCTCCACATAAGCACAAAGCCTATTCGACCCTACACACGCCATAGCGAAGACTATAGTGAACAATCTTACTAAAGCGCGGATAGTATGAGCCTCTTTCGATTACTCGCTCAATCCCACCAGTAGTTACAAAAATCACGCCTCTCCCCGTCCGTCACAGCCTTCTCCCATCCTAACTTACGATTCCTAACCGCGTCTTTGCGACCGAACTTTCATCTGTATAGATTAACATACATAGTTTGGTACAAGGCAAGTTTTTTTTTAAGTCATCGATTGATCAATCACACGAAGCGCAAATGTATCCGAGTTCTTTTATTCATCGATGAAATATATTAATTTTTATTTACAGTTTTTATTTACAGCGCGTAATCATTGACACACATTCATCGACTTATTTTATAAGTAAACTAATAAGATGTTTTGATTGAATACGGATATACTTCCTAACCTAACCTAACCTAAAATACCAAGTATTGTTATTTAGGGTGCTTTCCAACTACGTACACAGGCGATACTGTGTAACAGTGTCCATTAGTGAGTGAGACACACTGATATGCTCTTTCTCACACTAATAGACACGGTGTTACACAGTGTCGCCTGTGTACATAGTTGGAAAGCACCCTTAGTTAAGTTGAGCATTTGTTGTTTATGTGTGATAAGGAAGCATTTTTTGAGTTCTTGAGCCACTAAGAAATCAAGTCGATACAAAAACACTACAGAATGTAATTGAAACATTTTATAAAGACCGGGTAATCTTCAGACATGAAAATGCGACACTTCACTTTCAATAGTAACAGTGACATGTAGTGACCCAAATCTATTATTAATTAAGCACGTACATTTAAAACATCTAATAGATACATTAACAAATACTTTGAAAACATAAAACTTGATGATTTTTTATTAAAAATAGTGCCATTGTATTCAAAATATAGATTCTAAAGCATATTTTGGAGTACTTTGAATTTCAAGTTAAGATATATATTGTATATTAAGGTATACAAGTGTGTGGTACCCTGATTATAAATACAAAAATTATGTTATATAACAAGCAAAATGTTTTCAACAATTTCTAATATATTTTGGATATTCAGAATTTTTATGATTATGATGGATACAAACCATGAGTATATAAAACGCACTTCAACTTTAATTACAAAAAGGTTATTTTAATAACATTATTTTCTAATTATATTATTTAACTATTTTTTGTTTTAAAACAAAATTAAAAAATATAAAATAAAAACCATCATAGCTCGCAAAAGAAAAGTAGCTAATAATTACTGATTTTTTAAAAAATATTTTTAATGTATTTTGTTTTCTGCATTTTATATTATATATAATAAATTATTATTATCATTATACTAATTATCACAAATAAAAAAAAGATAACTGATTAAACTTTAAGAACACAAAGTTTAACACTTGGTCTAAAGGTAATTAACATATTTTCTTTATACAAAAAGAAATTTAATATTGCACAAATGAAAACTCTGTCAAATACTGATTACCTAACCTAGTTAAAATATTTATGTATAATTTATTATTTATATATTTGAATTTTGAATTATTCTTTTTTAGACTTAAAAAACTTTCAATGTAACTTTAATTTTTTTCTTGTAACCACACGTTTTCTTTAAATATTCCCTTTTTATCTATACTCTTCAAATGATTAAAAGTTTTTATCTCTTATGCTTTGATCTCTGTAATTGTTTGACAAGATAATTGTCTATAAAAAAATAATTTTTCCTAGACACTTTTTTCAATACTTTTATTAGCACGATAATTTTTCTCAATATTACTATCTTGTTTAAGTTTTTGATAAATGACATGAAGTTCTAAACTATTATAAAGCATGCTGTGCAGAAAAAGTACTTGATGCTCTGTAACTTGTAAGAGCGAGTCAAATACTTTGAAATATTCCTACGAGATACTCACTTAGTACTTTTTCCAGTACTGTTTTAGTTCTTTTTATTAGCTTTGTATGTTGCTAATAAATTTTTATACTTTTCGTTGCACATATCATCTAACATCAACATTGTTTATGGTAGTAATTTCCTTAGCACTAGTTTGTGTCAAGCTTTTCTTGGTATTTTTCCATTAAATTTTGATTATTCTCGTAGATATACATTAATAAATTAACTAAACTTTATATCCCTTTAAAATTCCATTCTGTCTCTTCCTCTTTTTCACTTTTCTTTTCCATTTTAAGTTGTAAACAAAACTGTACATACTTCAGAGTAGAGAGAAGACTGAGAGCGGCCATCCTATTGTAGTTTCTTACGGTTTGGTTTGGTGCAAGTATGGCTCTTGGACCGTAAAGATTAGTCCACACGCCAGTCTGATAGTTTCTTACGACGGTTTCAGCCTTAGGGCGACGTCCCATTGAGCGGAAATCTATAGCGGAACGGAATGTGCGGAACCAGCTCGACCAATCATAGCCATTCCGTTTTCTTTCCTTCGCTTATTCTGTGGTTACGATTGGTCGAGCTGGTTCCGCACATTCCGTTCCGCTATAGATTTCCGCTCAATGGGACATCGCCCTTAGACTATATATACTTGTAAACACGACCCGTAGACACAGTACGGCTTAGGGCCTCCGCACAAACTCTTCCATAACGCGTTACGTTACGTTAAGTACTGGCCATAAACTTAGACCTGTACGTAAACTTAAACGTTGGGTGTGTTTAGCCGAAGCTAGCGCTACGTAGCGCTA